AATTGAAGGGGACGTGTCCCCCCTCCCCCCAACCTCCCGTCCCCCTTTGGATCGCCGCCCCTGAAAATTAGAGTCTGTGTTTGCACACTAATTCTCCACTTGACTTTATTATGTCATGCATGTTGAGGATTTCCCCTTACGTAAAGCTAGGCTTCTTAACGACATTCAAAGTATTTATTTTTACACCAAATGGCACACTTAAACAGTATTTGGTAAATATATATGTATATTTTAATTTTCCAAATATCAATAACATATTCTAAAAGTAAATGATACACATTATCTTATCAATTTACGAAATAAACCATATGAAAACAAAGAGAATAAGCAATGCTTCATCGCAAAAGACTAGCCAGTTAACAACAACAGTATGTGGCAAAAATAGTCACTGTGACTGATTGCCAAACAAAAACAAATCAAGAAGAAGAAGAAGACAGGCAACACGAGTTGTCAAGCTAGCTAGACTGCTTGCCTGATAAAAAGTCTCCGTGGAATCAGTGGCGGATCCAGGGGGGGGGCCCGGGGGGCCCGGGCCCCCCCCCTTGAGAAAAAAAATCATGTAAAATCACGTGATTTTTACCTTTTTTTGGGGTTGGGCCCCCCCCCCTGGCGCTCAAGGGGGGGTGCAAATTGAAAATTTTTTGAGGATCAAAAAAAAAAAAAATGTGCTCACTACCCCCCCCCCCCCCCCCCCCCCCCCCCCCCCCCCCCCCCCCACTGAGCGAATTTTTTGGCCGGCGCGTTTTTCAAATTTTCGGAAGCAAAAAAAAAAAAAAAAAAAAAAAAAATTGTGCTCTGTACCCACCCCCCCCCCCCCCCCCCCCCCCCCACTGAGCGACTTTTCGGCCGGCGCGATTTGAAAATTTTCGGGAGCAAAAAAAAAAAAAGTTGGGCCCCCTCCCCTAAGAAATCCTGGATCCGCGCCTGCGTGGAATCGCTTTTAATTCGAATGTAGACGATCTTGAGGTAAACACATGTGTTATCGTTATTAATATAGATTTAAGCTATCGCAATTATGTTTCATAAATAATAACAATAATGGGTCAAACCTCTAGGCCAAGTTAGTTGCCTCTAGCTCTCGCATGCAGCTAACCAAGCCAAGCGCAGCCGCGCCGCCGTACCATCCCGCTGGTGGAATCCCGAGCGTTTGATGCGTTACGGCTAACCAGCTTTGGGTCCTCGGATAGCTCTAGCGGCTGAAGCTGAGGCTGAGCTGAGCCTAACTAACTGGCTTCAAAGATCGACGAGCAGTCCGATTTTATTAGAAGCAGAAAAATGAGAGGGACAGCTAGGTCTACATAGCTCTAGCTCTAGTACAATATGTCAATGAAACTTGTTTTTGAGCAAATTCTAATAAACAAATTGGAAAGTTATATTATGATTATTTGAAGTGACGGGGCAGAATATAATCTTACTGGGCCTAAATAACTACGCATTATGCTTAAACTAATAATACGGGTTAATCCTACCATAGGCTGTAGAAGTAACTGCTTGAAGTAAGTCTCAAGAAGCACCGATGTGTGGAGCTCCACGTAGCTACGTTGAGATCAGAGACTCGGAGGAACACAGCAGACGGCATGTAGCGCGGTTGCAGTTCCAGTTCCAATCTGACCTACCCAGTATGGGATATGGCCAGGAAAACTATCTGCGAGTGCCGCCAAATGCGGAACTTGCGCGCATATACCCGCCAGAGCCGTATTGGCTCAGGCTGAATCACTACATTATTCCCCACTTAATGAGTTTGAAGCCTACTTCTAACTAAAACTAAACTAAAACTAACTTAAAACTACTCCCGTACCGCAGTGCAGGGTCACGCCGTTCCCACTGGTGGATGGGTCAAGGACCCTCCTTGCCAGCACCGGTGAAGTCTTGGCCTTTCCAGAGGGCGGGCGCCTTTATCATACCTTAATAGGTACCGTAATAAGTACCGTAATAAGTACTGTATTCCAAAATTTGGTACGGGAAATATTACATACATGTAAAGTACATGTAAAGTACATGTAAAGTACATGTTCAGGGAACCAGAAATATCCTAGCATCCGTAGCTTGGTATATTTAATTACTAAATAGGATTCAAGTCCCGGAAATGTCCCAGGGATCAAGAACATAAAGAAACGGAAATATACCAGTTAACCCTTACCGTGCCGGTTATACATATTACATAATGACAAATTGCAAAACGTCTTGGCACGGGCATAAGGGATTAACCGGGGCATTACATTAAATTCCCAAGGTGACCGAGCATGAAAGTGTGAGTGAACAACATAAACGACGAATGGCAATAAGTGTGCAGAAAAGGGGAAGAGCCCAATGGCTCCCCATTCCCCAAGTGCATGTATGGTACAATGTCCAGAAATATCCAGAAACTGGGCGATCCCACATGAGAGCCAAACGGCTCCCTACAGGCAGTCCAAACGGTGCATATAAGAAGTATTAGAATGATAAAAGCAGATCACTGAAATCAGATGGAAAATGATATAGAAGGTGAAAACACTTCAACAAAATAAGATTACATTCTCTGGGCCACTCGGCACCCGGGGGCACAATAGCCACTGCTGGCAAGTTCCTGATATCATTCAGGGCACCCAGGCCCACAACACCATCAAGCAAATCCAAAAGGCTCTTGTTGATCCAGAGGAATTACTCCCCAAAAACATCCACCAGCGGGAACAGCGTGACCCCGCACTGCGGTACGGGAGTAGTTTAAGTTAGATTTAGTTTATTTTAGTTTAAGTTAGAAGTAGGCTTCAAACTCATTAAGTGGGGAATAATGTAGTGATTCAGCCTGAGCCCGTATGGCTCGGGCGCATATATGCGCGAGTACCGCATTTGGCGGCACTCGCAGATAGTTTTCCTGGCCATATCCCATACTGGGTAGGTCAGATTGGAACTGGAACTGCAACCGCGCTACATGCCGTCTGCTGTGTTCCTCCAAGTCTCTGATCTCAACGTAGCTACGTGGAGCTCCACACATCGGTGCTTCTTGAGACTTACTTCAAGCAGTTACTTCTACAGCCTATGGTAGGATTAACCCGTATTATATTAGTTTAAGCATATTGCGTAGTTATTTAGGCCCAGTAAGATTATATTCCGCCCCGTCACTATACGATCAATCAAGCAGAAACTGGCAACAATGTGACGTTTTTTGCGAGCTTCTCTCTAGTCAAATCTCAATCTAGACCTAGTCTACATACAATTTCATGAACTTTCAAAGTTTTATTTTCACTATTGATGATGGAAGAGATTTGTTTCCATACATTACAGGGGTTGTATAGAAAGCAATATTTACATTTACATGTAGAGTGCATGTATGATTGACAAATTTCTGATTTTATTTTAAAAAGAGAAAATGAGAACGATATATATATTGTTTGTTGGGGATGGGGGGGTGGGGGGATGAGGGTAGAGCAGGAGGTTTAATTTCTCTCTTGACTTGTAATCTCAATGTAAGTTGTAACAGATTACTGTACATCTTCCTTTTATTCCTCTAATCACTACTCTAATTTAGATTCTACATTTATTGATTTAATTATACTGCCCAGTGCCCATCCCCACCCCTTTCTCTTCAAATGTCTATTCCAATAACTTTTCTCTCTTCTTCCTTCCTCACTCTATTTCTTTTTTGTTGTTGATGACTTGCACTGATGTCGATATTGATATGTGGCTCTTGGGGCTCATTCCTAGAAACCAACGACAAGACAGTCATAACTTTATCCGCCAACTACGGAGATGTCTCTGATCTTCCTAAACCGTTTCACAAAGAGCTCACTAGCTAGTATCTTGTGAGATCGATACTATCGGCGAGAAGAGGAGCCGAGACTAAGCCGGATTATTACAAAATTAATATTAGGGAAAATGCAATTATTTAAATGAATTAGTAATAAAAAAGATCGAAAATGATACCAAGAAATAAGAGATGCAATATACTTCCAAATATGTGTAGATTATACAACAGAAGTACTTGTAAAATATAATTGTGAGTATTTCATGACATGACCGGTTAATCAGTTTTGTTCTTGAGAGGGGTAACCCCGGATATTTTCATTTGATAGTTTATAAAAACACACCAATATATTATTCTTAGAAAAATACGATGTAATGAAATTTGTGTCCAATGTTTTAGGTGTCAGTTGTATAATCAAATGTCAAAACTTCAACATACCAAACGTTAAAACACATGTTTTAAACTATTCATTTTTACACATTTGAAGATAGAATTTATCTTGAAGGCAATATGGGTCTGAAAACTAAAGAATACACTTCAAACTACATTGTATGGCTTGCCTGCTGTGGCAAAATACATATCCCTTTAACGAGTTTACAATGTGGAAATAAAGGCATATAATCAGTTTTTTTAAGTGGGAAATCCTTAAATACAAAAATGGCATATTTTCATAGGATTATCAAATACAAAAAACGATAACCTACTGTTTAAGTGAATGTGTAGAAAAATCATAGTTGGAGGATTTATTGTCCTTTTTTGCCAGCCATAGTCTACCCAATAAATGATATGTGATGGCGCTGCCCATCGACTAAATAGTTATGACAGAGATACGACAGTGTCAGAGGTGTGGTAACTCCTTAGTCAGGATGTTGTCGTTGATCTTGACAAAGAGGGCTTGGTGAAACACGTAGCGGACAAGTTGCTCACTAACACTGATTTAGTCAAGAAGTGAGACTTATGACGGTTTCTAGGAACGGGCCCTTGGTTATGTTTGACCATGTCTGCATATAAAACATGAAAGACAATTTGATTTTGTAAAAGGTGATTATCCGGAAAGTTTGAATGAACAGAGTGACTACACTGTTGTTTAAACATCTTTTTGTTCCAATATTCCTCTGTAAATGTTGCAATGTTCACACTTTACAGTAGTTTAAACAATTTTCCTATCTTGATTCTAAAAGACTTAATTGGAAATTATTTTTTTGCTGTACATTACTCATACATTTACATGTACATATGTATATAATACCATTTTCCTCATCTTCGTATAACACAGAGATGCCACACAACAGCACTATCCACTGGTTCCGCAAGGGCCTTCGTGTCCATGACAACCCTGCCCTCTTGACGGCTATCCAGGGCACCAAGGTCTTCCGGCCAATCTTCATTCTGGACCCCCATTTCATTGAGTCTGGAAAGGTGGGCATCAACAGATGGCGCTTCCTCCTGGAGACTCTTCAAGACCTAGACAACAGCTTCAAGGCTCTGGGAACGCGGTGAGTGATCTCTGGTAGTGCCAGGCACCACCCTTAACATGTTTAATTCAAAGTTCAAGTTTCATTTATCTTTCTTTCAACATTCTCGTAAGGATAGATTGATAAAAGAAAGATGAGGAGACCTTATGAAAAGCCTTGTAAAGCATGATGTAAGGCCCCTCAAAACAATAAAAACAATGTTTATCAATCGAGTAATAACAAACTCTAGAACTTACTATAAACAAAGTTAGAACTACATGATATTAAAAGAGTGTTTGGACTACAAAGACTTCCTGGTTGACTGCACTGCGTCGACCCTGTATTATAGCCAGAAAATGGAAGCCCTAGGCTAGGCTCTAGTCTTTATCATTAAAATTATGTTGTAGTATCAAAATAAAGTCTGTGTCTGTGCTGCAGATTGAATATATATGTGGCTGGTTGATGTGACATGACCAAGGAGAATGGCGAGATACAAATACACACCCACTTGGATGAAAGCCAGTTGCAGTTGATGATCTCCAAAGTCCAAACTAGGTGTGTTGTATACAATGTAGGTTTCAGGTAGTCGCTCATCTCTTTAACATTTTGTTCCTTCCTTACATTTTCTTTTTGGGGGTACAATACCTGTTCCTCTAAGAATTTCCCTAAAGAGGTGCAAAGCAGTTTCCTTTTGACCAAACAAAAATCATCAGCCTTCCAAAGAAAGGCTTTGACGCAATATGTTGAAAAAGGGCTCCAATTTAACTGGAATTATGGAATAGAGCTGAAATGAATCACATATTGCATATCGGTTGCCTTCAACTGATATTGTAAGGCAGGATTTTACTTATTATTGAATTAACATTCAAGGTCTTTCTTACCGAATGGTCTAAAATATTTTGTAATTGATGATGGAGACTTTGAGGCTCTCAATGCGAATAATTTGATTGCAGATGTCTATTTTGTCATGTTTTGAGGCCCATAGGCATTAACTCTGTGAAAAATGATAGGATTTAACACCATCCAGCTCCAAGTAGACTACATGTCTAAGAAACTATCCACTACGGCACTAATGTCTTTTGGCAAGACTACATTTGCCACACTCAGGTGAGGTAAATGGGTACCTGGTAGGAAGAAATTCTTTGAAGGATTGCAGGGCCCTCAAGGAGAACAGTATTGATACTGATCAGGCAACCCTGGGTAACAAGACATATTATCATTAAAATGATATTGTTGCTTAACCTCTTTGATGATCATTACCCCACAGGTTGTTTGTTGTTCGTGGGAACCCAACCACCGTTTTCCCAGAGATCTTCAAAAAATGGAACGTGACCCGTTTGACCTTTGAGGTCGACACCGAGCCCTACGCACGCCGGAGAGACCAGGAAGTGATAGAGCTAGCTAAGAAGAATGACGTTGAGGTTATCACAAAAGTCTCCCACACTCTCTATGACACAGAGAGGTATGTAAATATTGGAAAGTTAGTTGGCTGCTCAGTTATTCTGAGAGATTTATTGTATTCTTGCCCATTAATCTGCAAGAATCCCCACCAAAGTGCATGAGAGAGATAAAAAGCAAGAATAATGTAAAGTTTCTCTGCAAGATGTGACGTACTATGCAAAATCATTTATGTACTGAATGTATTCAAATTCGCTTCCTTCCCAGGTGTGTGTGGTGATGAAGCATTTTATTCACCTGCTATTATCCTTTGTACTACAATAGCCAGAACGCAAATTGCATAAATAAGTTGGTGCTCTTTTGGGGTGAAGGTGTCGCTTAAATGAAATAAATTTGTGAACTACTATATTTTAGTATTTTTAGATAACCGAATTACAATTGTTACCCCATTATATATTTTTCACCAAATGTAATTTTTACCTTCTCAGCTATGATCTTCCCTCATTAAAAAGTAAAGGTTTTGTTATTGAATTAAAAAGACTTTCCAACTAAACATTTAGTGCATGATACATATACAGGTTTTCCAAGTACGTTAAATTATCAAATAATGGCTGCGCCCATGTCGTGCATTAGATCATGCCAAAAATATCTTCATTTGTAAATCTCTTGTACACTTTTGTAAGGGATATTGCACATCAAAAGGCAGGAAAACATCTAATTTTTCAGAATATCTGCACTTATTGCAATTGTCACCAAAGCATGAAAGATAAAACCTTGTAGCACATCTGTACACTCTTTATTTCTAACTTTTACTTTCAAACCTCAACAGAACCATCAAGGCTAACAAGTACAAGCCACCAATGACCTATCAGAGAATGGTGGGATTGCTGTCTGAGATTGGAGCACCCGCCATTCCTGAACTACCCCCTCTGATGGCCAACTTCACAGGTAAGATAAACGCTTCCCACTATTTCAGTTTCAATTTAATTTATTTCATATTTCACCTTCATTACATACAAAATCATCAAAAAAAAAACATTAAGAATGAATAGAATTGTTTGTTCAATAGGTGTGAAAATACAATAATATCAGGCCATGAAAGTATAAAAACAGTTGAAATAAACAAACAGAGAATAAATATGATTGCATGGTATTTAAACCGAAATTAGACAAATACATTTGTACTTTTGTTGTGAAATATGGGGGAATTGTTTAAAAAGCTAAGCTTGTAAATCATAGATTCCCTTGTATTAAGGATAATGTTCACTCAAAATTTAAAATTCAAATTTGTACCATTGAAATATGTGCATGGGAGATGTGAGGGGTGTCGCTTGGGACAACACTGCAGGACAATCTATTAAAAAGTACCGGTACTTGTTACACTAGTACGAAATAGTTTTCAAAAATCTATTCCAAAATTGGGCTTATGTAGCAAGCAATAATAATAATATCTAGCATTTATTACACTCTACATAGTACAACAATATCACAGCATTTATAAAAACAGATACACATAATAGGGGAATCGACTTAAGTATGAAAATACTATGAATTGAAAGGAATAACAAAGGAATTTTAACTATTCCAGGAAGAGATATGTTTTTACGAATCTCTTAAATTGGTCTGTGGATTTTGCAATGTAGCACACAAATTAAATTTAACAATTTAGATGTGTCTGTGATGATTTGACCTGCCAGGTGTAGCAACGCCTGTCAAGCCAGACCATGACAACGAGTATGGAGTGCCTAGTCTGGAGGATCTAGGCCTGGATCTTGAAGGTCTTGGACCTCGTCTCTATCCCGGAGGGGAGACGGAGGGACTCCAGCGCATGGATTTGCATCTTGCAAGGAAGGTACAGTCAAACCTGCTTTAGCAACCACCTGTATAAAAATGTCTATAAAGGCCACATGTTTTGTTTCCCTTGAATATGGTTTCTGTACTGAAGGAACCTGTACATAATGACTACCTGCCTATAAAGACCACTTTTCTTGCTTCCCTTGAGCGGTCTTTATTTATATAGGTTTCACTGTATTTGCACATGATTCTCAGCAGATAATTCATCACTTGCCTATCTAGGAAGCCTATTACTGCCATAGACGATGTAGCTGTTACAGCCTTTTGGCAGGCACCCAACGATTTGTTTATCCTTGGTCCAAATTCTCGCTACCGCATATACATGTAGCAATATACATTTTCATAATGCAATGCACTTCCGATACTTCAGCGATTTTGTAGACACACTAACACATATTCTGCTATACCAGTACTATGATATGCTAATAATTCATCATCTGCAATTCTTAATCTTGCTCGATAGTTGCATATTTTGAAAAATGCACAAGCAGTAGGCATATTTACTAATTTACCAGCATTTACAAATGCCAACACTTGTAGAAATTCTCTCGGAAGAACTTGGCACACCGCGACGCAAGTGGCTTTTTCCCAAGCCATGATTGTGCTCTGTCGCCAGTAATTTTAAAGAATTTCCAATAATATACAGCAGGGTCGCATTTTTAATGAATTTACATCGTATGAGATTTAGGCAAAACTAGATTGTATCATTTGTATTCCTATTGACAGTGAAGTGCGTCTAATATTGTGTGGCCTGTTTTTACCGGATGTTCACTACAAAATCTAGGCAAATTCGCGAGTAGAAATAGAGCGCCACTTACGTTGGCTTATTTTCAGCTATAAGCGGTAGAGAGAATTGAGGAAACCTGGCTCGTCATGTTGCGGTTGGTCTGAATTGATTGTAAATTCACCAACTCATCACAAAGATTTTTAAAAATGTCTGTGCTATTTCCATAATTCAAAGTTTGGAAATTGCAAGAGCATGTAAAACACAACAGGTATTCTTGTGTTTAACATAATCGATGCTATTCTTTTTCATTGCAGTCATTGATATGCAGATTTGAGGATCCTCAACCCAGTTTTAACTCCTTATAAGCTAGAAACACAGTTTTCAGTCGATCCCTATCTCATTTACCTATGACACCAGAATTCTTACATTTTATTAATGTTTATCAACCATAACCAAGGGATACTTCTTGAATAATTCTTTTCTTACAGTCCTGGGTATGTGGATTTGAGAAGCCAAAGACCAGTCCAAACTCCCTAGAACCCAGCACCACTGTTCTTAGTCCTTATCTCAAATGGGGCTGTCTTTCACCCAGGAAGTTCTACTACGCAATCAAAGAGGTTTATGCACAACAGGTAAGAGAAAAAAGGTTCATCAAATGGTTTTAAGAAATTCCCCTTTTTTGTTAATACCTATGAAGCATCTGCTTGTCAAACCAAACATCCCGGTTTAAATCTAGCCGTTTTAAATTTCCTTAATTTATTGCAGATGCCATCACCCAATCATATTTAAGATAATTAACATACACAAGAATTGAACTTAAATTGAAGACAGAGCTTTTGTTTTGATTTTGGTTTTGAATCTTGGCATCTCCATTTTGAACCCAATAAATTGGATTGTTGACAACAACAACAACAAAATTTGTCTTGTATAATCTCCCAAAGGATGTTACTAGTGGTGTCAGCATAATGTAGTAGAGCCTTGAATGAGCAACTGAAATGATGTAAGTTATGAAACGGGATTTTAAATGTAAAAACTTGTCTTTATATGGGTTTGAATGAGAATGTTATGATAGCATTGGTCACTCGGGTTCCAGTGACAGGTTTACTAACTACAAATTTATGAGTGTTTCTTTCCTGGGGGACCTAGTGACGAGTTGTTCCATTAACCTGTTATTAATGAATGAACTACAATAATAGTATGTGTACTTTTGTCTACATTGTAAGAAAGGGAGAGACAGTATAAACAGCACCACCACATGTTTCTTTATTATTTCCCTTTTTATTTTTGGATTCATTTGGACTGGTCACTATTTATATCCGTCCTCCATTCATTACCACAAACTATTTCACTGGGGCCTACAGCTTTACAAGCTTGCTTTCATGTAGGTTCCATCATATTTCTTTCAGTTAGATCAATACTCTATATTGACCACTTATCTTTATGTTATTTATTATGTATTATTGATTGTTATTGTATCACACAAAGAACAACTTGTACTTTATTTTGTAATGTAAATGTAACATGAGAAATATGAAAATAAATGAAATTAGAAATGATATGACTCCTAGCTAGGTTGCACAAGTTTACAGGTTGTCAAAAACAACTTTTTTTTAAAGTAAGCATAAAATTTGAATATGTTGAAATAGTCAACTAGTCTATTGCTCCAGGTCTTAATAGTACCGGTATAGGGTTAGGGTTGCAATTGAGTTTTGCATTAGGTTAGAGATTGTTCAAGAACTTTGGTTAGTGGAGGAAATTGACTGCAGGAGCATATGTTATAGAACCAAAGAAATTTTATTTGATGTATACAAGTATTTATGTTCAGAACCACATGGATGAAAGCATGCATTCTTATCCATGTGTAATGACATTTCATTGACTTTTTGTTGTTCTTTGCCGTCATATGACAGACCAACTGCACCAAGCCTCCCGTCTCACTCATGGGCCAGCTGATTTGGAGAGAGTTCTTTTACACTGTTGCCGCGGGAACACCCAATTTCCACCAGATGGAGGAGAACCCAATCTGTATTCAGGTCCCTTGGGATGAGAATCCAGAATTCTTGGCTGCATGGAAGGAGGTACCTCAGCTCATTTCATTTGAAATCCTATTTTTCTGCTTCTGGAGTTGAAATAGAAATACAATTCTAATTTCTCTCTCAATTTGAGCTTAATGTTTATTGCATTTAATCTGACATAGATTGGATTAGAAACAATTTAGTTTAGCCCATTCCAACTTCATTGCCGGGCAATTTGTGAGGGCCATTTTCCGTACTGCATATTGAGTATAAGACTCTGAATATTATATATATCGCATCCTTGTTCGTTCCTCTTTCCAGTGATACCAACTTCATGGATGAAAAATAAATCAAATTTTAGAAGAAGCTAATAACCGGACCTTTGCAAGACTCATTACGTATTCATAACCTGTACGGCCATCAATACCAGCTAAATCAATGCATGCAAAAATAAATTATCCTGCTTGGCTCTCTGACTGCCAATGTATGAATGGCAGATTGCAAAATTGATGTTCATAATACCATTTCTGGCAACCAAATATTTGAGATACACTCAAACACTGAGTCTTGGCATTGTTCCATAGTGACATAACTGTGGTTTTTGTACCTGTTCTGACTCCTCAAGGGGCGCACCGGTTACCCTTACATTGATGCCATCATGACCCAACTAAGGACCGAAGGCTGGATCCATCACCTTGCCAGACATTCTGCTGCATGTTTCCTCACCAGGGGTGACCTCTGGCAGAGCTGGGTCAAGGGTCAAGAGGTCAGTTGTCTGATGAATGAGTTTTTAACTTAGTGGTTCCTGAAATGATAGGAGTTTATTAGGCAGCACAATGTCCTAAATCTATGCATCTATCTAAATCTGTTCATCGATAGAAGTTGAAGTATCGTAAGAGGTTATGAGACACAAATACAGTTTTGATATGATTTATGTATTTTTGTAGGTATTTTCATTCATTAAACATAGATTACATTTTGCAAAAGATATAGTTAGAAATTGTCTTCAGTTGTACAAAATTAATATCTGAATGCCAAGACAAGGTAGCACTTTGACGTAATATTACCACTCTCTGTGAATGTGTTATTCTTCTCACAATTATCTTAAGAGTTTAAAAGAGGTAAACAGATGTTTGAAGAGTTCTACCTATTGCTGTCTCTCCCCCAAATTTGTCACACTTTTACTGCGATATGATTTTGTCCATGTCTCTTACTTTATCTTTGTCCTGACATCTCCCCCTCTCTCTCTCTCTCTCTCTCTCTCTTTCTCTCCCTGTAAAGCGCTGTCAAACCAATTGTGCGAGAGCGCTATATATATATATGAACATGTTATTAAAGGGATAGTTGAGTTCTGTTGGAGAGGGCGCTACACAAAATAATTTATTTGTGAGATAATGAAAAACTGAGTGTCAAATTTGAAAGAACATACAATTTAAATGACAAAATCATCTTTGTTTGATCAAAATCGGTTCAGAGACGGCTGAAATATCCATAGATATAACGATTTCTAATACTTGTGTACCACTACAAATATTAGATAATTTGTAAAAGCCAATGAAAGAACGAAATAGCGCCTTTTACGTCGTATTTCAGCCAATGCCGATTTTGGCTTTTTTGTTGGCATTTTCGTGTTGGTAATATTACGCACAACCAGCCGGCCCATGTATTGTTTAATTAAATAATTGATTAACGGTCACCATATTTTTTTAAAAGTGGAGCTGAATTCGTATGATCGTATTGGCTAAATTTCACACATTTTGGGGTCTAAAATTACCTTCATACAGTACACCCCGAAGATCTCCGCAACACGATTTACACGATTCAAAATTTACACGTTTCGAAAGCTCGCGGGAATCGTGTAACCATTAATTTTACACAATTCGTCTTTTGCCAAGTAAACGTGTAATCGTGTAAAATTACACGATTCCTCAATTCAGGTCGAATCGTGTAATCTGCACGCTGAAAATCTCTGTAACACAATTACACGATTAAAAATTTACACGATTCGACTGCTCGCTGGAATTGTGTAACAATTTATTTTCAGTGGTGAGGGTGAGCAGATTACGATGTCTCGTTCAGTAGAAGCAGGAATAACCAACAGCTGAGGGGGGGGGGGGGTGGGGAGGGTTGAACGAAGACAACGGGGATGAGGGGGAGAGCGAATATTACGCATTCTGTCTCTCTTATATATTTTTAATTGCGGTGTGTGTCTCTAGTTTAATTTTAGACTGTTTGAAAATGAAAAAATCAGTTCACTTCCTGAAAAGCACTCTCGGATTTAATCCTCCGTGAGAAAAGAAAACAAAAAGTGATGAACGAGAAAGGAAGGGGGGGGGGTATTCTTAGTTGTAAATAGATTTTAAAAAATTATGTTCACCAGCTCCTTCGTTACTATAAATGTCGTTATACTATGTATTTTATTCCGAAATTATCCATGAGAGTGCGAGGGGCGTCATTTCCCCCCACGAGAGTTCCTGGCCTTGGTTGATATGTTTTACGTCATTGGCAGCTTGAAAAAGGTCACAAACAATTACACTTTGATTACTTATTGCTTTTTTTAACTTTCCTCATTTTTGTAAATTATCTTTTACAACATTGCATTCAGCTACATGTATGAAGAACTAAGGTCAAGACTTAATAGCACACTTCCTGTCACATACAAAAGAAGCTTACTCTGAATGTGGCCTGCCATTGACCCTCGTCGGGGCGTTGCCCTAGCTACAGACAAAGATGCTTACATAATACCTATTGTTCAGGGGAATCCCCTTTGAACATAGGATCTCCTGAACAATAGGTATTACGTTCGGATCAAAGCCACTGGCTACAGAGTACAGGAAGCAGTAGCAATTAAGACGAGAATGAATATAATAAGTGAATGGCCAACTGGTTTTGCATTACGTTTAGCTAGCGGTACAGTGCCCACCCCCACTTGTTTATTTTGACAAGTGCCTGTATTCATTTGTAAAAGTGCCCCTTCCCCTTTTCAACTCTGACACGCGCTCCTTTTCCTTCGACGAGTTCCTATTTTCCTTTGCAATACGTGTCCATTTTCCATTCTCACAAGTGTCCTTTTTAATCTCAATTAAGTATTATCCCTCTTTAGGTACGAGAAGTGCCCCTCTTCACTTTTGATAAATGCCCCCATCAACTCCAATTAATGCCCCTATTAAAATATGAACCATGCCCCTTTTCTTTCAACTAATGCTTTTTTTTTCATCCCCCTCTCTCTCTCTCTCTCTCTTTCTCTCAATATATTTCCACTGCCCCCTTATCTTTCTCACCTCTCTTTCTTTCGTTGTGTTCCACTCTTATCTTATTTATTTTTCTCTTTTCCTCTCCCTTTCAAAGCCTTTCTACTTCTCATTTCTATTTCTTTCACTATGTTTCGCCCTTCTTTTCTTCTGATCAACTTTCCCTTTTTTCTCTCTTGCATAGCTTTTCTTCTTATCTTTATCGTGCCATTTCAACCCTCATTTTCCTTTTATATGTTCCCTTCTCGTAGCTATCTTTTTTGCTGTACTTTACATCTATCATGTCTTCTTCTTTCTGACGTTTTCCTACCTTGTCTCATGGTGCAGGTTAGTAGAAAGTGATGAGGTTTATACACGAATATAAAGTACAGTAATTACCTGATGTAGGCAAGTGGTGTAAAAAGCAATTACTTGGTTTAAGTGAGTGGTGAAAGCAAGACACGATTTACAGATTGTTGCAGCTGGTCGAATCATCCCTTCCAATGCTCTTATAACCATTATAACTATCTACACAATTACACGATTCAGAGCGACAATCTTCAATCGTGTAAATTTACACGATTACACAGTTACACGTTTGTTGCATCTGGTTGAATCATCCCACCAATGCACTTAACTATTTACACGATTACACGATTCAGAGCGACAATCTTCAATCGTGTAAGTCTACACGATTACACAGTTACACGATTCAGGTGAATCGTGTAAACCGTGTAATCCAAAAAATATATCACATATTCGTGTTGCGGAGATTTTCGGCGTGTACTGTAGCAACTGTAGGTTCTAAAAGGGCACTAGAAATGTCATAGATAATAATAAGAGCAATAACCATGCACTTTGAAGGCATTTGCGGTCTGAAAACAGAACTCAATTATCCCTTTAATATTATTTTTGTTGTTGTTGTTGTTGTTGTTGTTGTTGTTATTATTATTATTTCCTCCCCTTCTCTTTATTTGTATCTCTCCATCTAGGTGTTTGATGAGTGGTTATTGGATGCAGATTACAGCCTGAATGCTGCTAACTGGATGTGGTTGTCTTCTAGTGCCTTCTTCCACCAATACTACCGGGTCTACAGCCCAGTCGTGTTTGGCAAAAAGACAGATAAGACTGGAGAGTACATCAGGTAGGACCTTCAGTGAATTTCAGTTTGGTCTACGACTAATTCGTCTACTACCCAATTAGTCTATTCCCATATGGTCTACACCAACCCGTCTACTATCCCTGTGGTCTGATTACCATTTTGTCCAATCATCAAATGCTTATTAGACCCAATGGTTAGTTGACAAAATAAGCATTAGTCAAACTGGGAATTAGACTAACTAGTTTATTAGACTAATTGAACAATGGACCAAATGGGAAGTAGACTTATTTGAGATTAGACCAAATGGCTATTAGCCCAAATGGTCATCAGCTGATGATCAGACTAATTGATAAATAGACAAAATTATTATTAGACGATGTTGATAGTAGATGGACTGGGGTAGACCAAACAGCAATAAACCAGACCTCAATGCCCCCTCATGACCCATTACAGAGAAGGTAGAGTTAAGAGAAAGATGGAAATAATATCAGAAAGCAAAAAAAAACCCACTAATTTCTATCTTTAATATATTGGAAACATATTTATTCCAGACTAACAGGGCTGCTGTGAGAAGCAGTGTTGTAACCGACAATGCTGCCCTGTCAAAAAAAAAAACCACATAAAACTGAATGAGTGAACATTGCATGGAATCATCTGTTACTATGCCAAGGTTCAAGAGGAGACTACTCAGCTAGGCCTAAGCCAAGCTATCCTTATGAGGAGCTGAAGCATTCATAGAATGTCCATGTCTTTAGCTTCCTGCCATAGCTTCACGAACATTTCTTCCTGCTGGGTTCCTGTTTTCTTCTTGGTCAAGAGTGTCAAATGTAAATCAATTCTGCCAAAGCTAGAAGTCAGTGTTACAGTCGGGATTTGAACCTTGTACCAATAGATCTACAGTCCTGTGACTTTTCCTCTAGACTGAGACATTTCTACATTTAGAAGTAGGTCTATAAGTACGCAAAATATACATGTACTTAAACATGAATTTACATGCCAACATTTACGACAGAGTTTATCTGAATTGAGAAAACATCTTGACAGCGCCATATTTGAGCTTTAGTCAAACCAAATACAATCAGATGAAATATTCTGTTACTTCTGTAATTAGGAGACATGTCTTTATTCATTACTTTTCAAAGTCTTGTTTAAAAAGTGTATTTCTAGTGAATTAAAGATCCGAAAACTTGGGATGTATCTATATTGTTCAAATTCTTTTAATGGAGCTTTAACTCTTATAATGTTGCAGGAAGTATATTCCTGCATTGAATAAATTGCCTGCTGAGTACATCTATGAGCCCTGGACCGCACCACGTAGCGTACAGGAAGCTGCAGGCTGTATCATCGGGAGAGACTACCCTCGACCAATCGTCGACCATAGCATCGTCTCCAAGAGGAACATTGGGAGAATGAAAGATGCTAGAGCTTGCCAGCCAGGCAAGAAAGCAGGTAGGAGATCTCTATCCTTGCACAGATATTGGGGCGTATCTATAAAGACCAGTATTTGCTTGGAAGCAAAAGTCACCTAGTAAAAGCTTGAGTTGACCTTTTGCTTGGCCTGAAAGCAATAGCTCAGGCAAACCTAATGGTTCAAAGTAAAACATTTCTAGGGTACTTGCTATGTCAGGCATGCAGGTTGGCAGGTACAGGGTACCGTTTGAAACGTTCCATTACAATTATACTCTCCAACATGAGCTCAAGCTGCCATGCGAGAAATAAAGAAAAGAGGGTTATGCACCAAGGTAATAAGAAGTGTTCTCCCCACTCACTTTCCAAGTGGGCTGTAGACCAATGTAATGTGTGAGTAAAAACTGGTTTAGAGTAGATTAAATTTGCATTCATTAATTATATAAATGAAGCGGAGTATCAGCTTGCTAGGAGTTATCAAAATAAAGTGAGAGCAGCTCTAGATACAAAAAATACTGACTGACAAACTGCATGCGAGAAAAAGCTCAAGTTCTCTGGAGAGGGGCTTGCAAAACAGATGAATACATATTCTTCATTCTTCATGCAATACAAAAGCTTTCCATTTAAAAAAAGTAAACATTTGAGAAGAAATGTAAGCTATGTCAGTGGCAGTAATTGCTAACAAATTGTTGCTTCTCCTCGCAAGCAATTGCTTGGTTGGATAGAAGTACAAGGTTAGAAAAAAGAAATTACTAGGCTTTTACTAGTTTTTATCGATGCAGCTGAGTACCTCTTGTATATTGATAAGAACATTCACTGAAACAATGCAACTAACCAAACCAATTACAGTATTATTATTAGTAGATTGAAGTATTACCCCAGCACTGGAATTGATTACGATTCTTCATTTTACATTACCAAAACCTCAGTTAGAGTCATGAATGAGGCTTTTAAACTCATTGTTTGAGTAAGTCTTATAATTTTGAGAGAGAAGTTAAGGATTTTCTGACTCATCTAACTTTAAGAAAGTTTTAATGCCCTGTTACTTTGCTTGACAGGATAGTTTTGTTATCTCTGTTTGTTTTGTTCTGTTTACTTTTTCATGTATCTCTTTATTTTCTGTTTTTATATTCGTGTATCTCTCTTTGCCATCCATGTTCCTTGTTTTTATCTCACCCTCTGTGTCTTATCTCACACACACAAACACATACTTTCTCTCTACTTCTTTTCCGATGTCGCTCCCTGTGCATTTTGCTATTTTTGTCTTTTTCTATGTTTCTCAAACTCTGAAAAAAAATATCTGCCTCTTTTTCACCTCTCGCTTTATTTTCATATGTTGTTTCTCTGTTTAACTCTGTACATTATTTCAATCTCTGTCTCACACTTCCCCTTTAACCCCCCCCCCCCCCCTCTCTCTCTCTCCCTCTTTGCCTCTGTCTCTCTGTCTTTATTTCCATTTCTCTCTTTATCTTTATCTCTATCTTTCTGGCTTAATTTCTATTTCTCTCTCTCTCTCTATCTCTCTCTCTCTCTCTCTCTCTCTATCTCTTTCTCTATCTATCTTTCTGTATCTCTGTCTGTCTGTCTCTCTCTATCTCTATCTCTCTTTCTGTATCTCTGTCTCTTTCTCTCTCTATTTCTGTCTTCATTTCTATTTCTCTCTCTATCTCTCTGTGACACACACTCTTTTTTATCACTCTGTAAACCGCTTGTTCTTCAATCTATGCAGAAAAGAGACCAGCTGAACCATCCAAACAGGACAACAATGGTAAAAAAGTCAGAAAAATCACCTCCATGCTCAAGAAGAAATAGACTACAGGCTTGTTATAGTAGGAAGGAAAGATCTTGGCAATAGCATTCCGAAATGGTAACTTGAACCCACTTTGAAAGATACGATCTCATTGTTTTGTAAAGGAAGATCTATGGTTCAAGGATGTTAATATATGAATTTATCAGTATGTGCATAATGATAGATAGTGAGCTGGCTATACTAGAAGGGCCTCACCTTCATCCATATTCTAATACCATATGGGTTGCTCCATCATGTGATCCAGTGACAATTGCTTTGGGCTTTATTTTGTGAAAGGTATAGTGTTAGCCTTAGGGTTGCAATCAGGTAAGGGTTAGAGTTAGGGTTCAGTCAGGGATTGAAATTAGGAATTTGGTTAGTGTAGGTTATCATGGAGCAATTTTTAAACAACCCTAAATCAGTTTCTACTTCAATTTCAATCTATATGCAAAGCACTTCAAGTGTGATGTGTCCATTTAGATCTTACCTTTTTTCTTACAAAGTCATCTGTGCGTATCCTTCATCATGTTGAATATTCAAGCTTTAGATATCATTAAAAAAGAAAAAGAAAAGATTTGTTTGTTGTTGGTACAATGAAATAGATTCCCTTTATTTAGAAGCAAGGATGTAGTCAATTGTTTAGGTAGCACTAGAAGTCTATTAAGCTAGAACTTGGCTTAGTCGATGTAGACAGGTAGGATGGAGCAAATTTTCCCCATCAATATGCGTTTGATTTGCATTCTTAGTTGAAATAGATTAAAGTACCAGTCTTTTTATATTCATTTCGTTTGATTTGTTCATGTAAGCTATGTTTCTTTGATGATGATTCAAACCAGGATGTTAGATTGGAAATATGTTACATGTAGTTTGCCTAATGTTTTTGGAAAAGAATGACTATGGTAAAATACAAAATTAATTCAGTGCCTGAATTTTAGGCAGATAAAGCGTCCAACAGTTTGTATAGATTATAGTAAATGACAGAAATAATAGTGTGTGAATTCAGGGAAGATAAACTGCTCATATTTCAGCGAAAGATACCAAATATATTGAAGATTACAGAGAAAGTTAAACAGTATTCTATTTTAGTTTTATTATGTACTAAGCATCATCAGTAGTATTGTAACATAAAATAACATTTGTTACATAAGTATTACATCAAAGAGGATTTGTGCCTTGCACATTAAATATCAAGTTATATGTGTTGTAGATGTATTAGGTAAGGATGCATTAAGTAATGGGTTCTGTATGTGAAGTTAAAATCATGACTATAAAAAGCAATTTTCATGAGCAATGGTAATTTATGCGTGGTTAGCTTTGAACCTGTTCTGAATGTGAATGTAAAATGCAGAATAAGAATGTGTGAATTATAAATGAACAAGAGGGCAAGAGAAATAGAAAGCAAGCGAAGTCAGGAGAAGGTTTAGAGGGAGAGAGAGATGGAGATAGGGGGAAGCAACTTATTAGAAGAGAGTGAGAAATAGAGAGACATGATACAGGAAACAGTGGGATGGAAGAGACAGGGAGGAGGGGGGGGGGGGAGGTGGAGAGAAAGGGCGACAGAAAGGGAACATGGGGGGAATGTGAAGTAGTGAGGTAGAGGATACATATAGGGGAAATGCAAACGGACGGAATACAGAGAGAGGGGGAACATATAAGAGAAAGAGGGGCTGAAGAGGGAGAGAGTGGGGGAGGGGTGCATAGGGGAAATGGGAAATAACATCCCATCAGAGATTAAGTTTTGGTATGAGGTCATAAATTGGTTTAAATGAACATATTGAAAGCATATATATGAGATTTCACAATATTCAATGATCGTCGCGGTTGAAATCGAGTCTAAAGTGATGACATTGTAAATAATAATCTCTTTATGTTGTATAGCTCCCTCTCAAGACTGATATTACTTTAGCTTTAAAACAATGTTTCTTGACTACAATCGACCGATTTGCTATGATATTTCATGGTCGCAGCTACTTGTGTGTGTATGACTCAAAATGGAATTAGATCGACTGACAATTAGACGTAAAAGTATGATGTGAATGTGACACATCAAATTTTACCTGAAAGAAAGAGCAACTAAATCGGGTTTTTTTTTTTATAAACGTGGCAATTGACGCAACGCTCCTCTTATTTACGAAAAATGTTATACTGACAAAGGAAATAAATAGTTGGGTGTCAAGAAATTGGCAGATAGGGGGGTCTAACCTGAAATACACAATGAATTACATGTACTATGAAAACTTTAAGCTACAGTATGTTAAAAACATTGGCCCGTAATCTGAAGTCGTGTCTAACTTAGCCACGTCTAAAGTTAAACAACTGTTTAGTTAGACACGACTTAGACACGACTTCAGAATACGGGCCATTAAATCTATTTATTTGTTGATAAACGAACACGTCTTCGGTTCCATAAATATTTTATTTCACGTTTACAGTTGTTTATAGATGTATTAAAGAGTTTTATATCATTAATGTCAAAGTTCACTTTGTAACAGCGATTGAGCGGACTTTGCTCTCGTCGTCATCATCTGATCATGATGATTAATTGATTGTGTTATTAACCCAATTATTTCCGCTATCAATTCTTGTTCGACATTGCCCGCATGCATTAAGGCTTGCCTATCCATGTTTTTCGACTTAAAGAACAGATAACGGGTCTATTAGAGAATAATTTACAGTAACACGAATATCTTACCATGTTAACCGAAATAGAAAGAAGATAATAAAAGTAAACAATCCTTGATTAACCCCAATAAGGCCGGGTTATTTGAGGTCTTAGTACGGCCGGTGGGGGGGGGGGGGGGGGGGGCATTATGCCGATCTCCGCGAAAATTTGCACGCTTGTCAAGTGAAGTGTATAAAACATTATGATGATTTCAATTTTTTGAAAAATTCATTCATTTGCATATTTATGGTAATTTATGCAAATAAGGTCATAAAATCACATTTTTACCCATTCAAATTCAAAGTTTATTCATATTTAAGCATTCTTTGTCACTACATATATTCATTATAGACCATTTGGAATAATAATACAACAACAAAATTTGGAAGAGCCAGCTTATTCCTTTTGTTATCTCTTGTTTGGATTTTTTCTTATGTATTTTCATTGTTTTTTAAACTTATGTATTTTTTAGTTTTTGTTGTTTTATTTCATTTCTTACTACAATTCCACTTATTTGACCCCAAAACAACCACCTAAACTTCAAACAAGACCCAATAACCAATTTTTGATCTATTTTGAGGAAAACTGACATTTCCATATGTTTTGTACACAAATCACAAAAATGAGCGATTTTCGGGCTGACATGCAAAGACAAAAGGTCACGTGACCTTGTAATTGTAGCCCGATTTTCATATTATTTTTTATTAAAGATGCGCAAGACTCAAAGAAAAAACTCAGCGAGAGGTGGGGCGCCATCCATATCCGTTCCCGAACAATCAGAAAAATCGTGGGGGGGGGGGGTGGTGGGGGGGGCATAATGGCCCCCGGCCTTATTAGGGTTAAATAACGTCCCCTTACGTCCCCTTCAAACCGTTTTGTCGCTTTCATCCATATCTTTAACTCCCAAAAGTACACTCTGTCATGTGAGACACGCGACCATTGCCATCATTCGTTTACCATCACGTTACCTAAAACTTCACTCCCTATTGACCTTTATCTAGGTCATCAAACATAGGCCATCTGATAAAAACAGTATAAAGCCCTACATGTTTTCTTTCAACGACCATATCCTACACGTGTAACAATTTTTATTAGTCCGCGAGTTTCCTGTATCATAACATTTTTCAAAGTGACAAGACAGTGATTTATTGTGACGTCGAGGAGTGCGGTTACGTGTTTGATTTCAGCGTCAGTAACTTGTGTGGAAGAAAAACGTGACACAGAGAACAATGGCGATCAAAACAGGTATACATGTATGTTTGCCGTACACAAATCTTCTAACTTACTACAATTTATATAAAATCACTACTCGTGGTTTATGTTATTCGGCAATTTTTTAATATTTTTTTTTATGCCAAATAGGTTTTTTTCAGCATTTATCAAGACGTGTAGGCCTTAATTTATAACCGAATAAGAGTTTATATTTTCTCAGTTAATATGACAATTCATAATAATCTGCATCTGACTTTATAGCTAGGGTACAATAATAATTTGTACAAACAACGTTACGTGTAATTGCGCGAGTGAGGTGTCTTGAAACTTTATTATTGTATTTTTAACTGAATTTGAAATTGATCATGATAATTATTTTCAGGCATTGCTCCATTCTTTCTATCCTTTATCATAAAGTCTGCATTGTAAATTCCATAAACATTTCAACAACGTACGTGAGAGTGAGAGATTAACCTTCATTTTTAAATTGCTGACTCCTAGATTTTGAGTTTTCTGAGGACCTGGCCACGGACCCTGAGGTTTTGAGAGGGTACAACGATCAAGGGTATTTCATTGTCAGGTTGGTATTAAACAGGTTAAAGGTACTATGTCACTTTTGCAGCCAACCTCAAAGTCTGTAGAGCTTTGCAGGAATTATGAATATGTCATGTCTTATTTATGAAATGGAAACGTTAGCAGTGTCACAATATTCAAATTATGCAAGGAAACCCGTTTACTTGCTAGACTTCACTGTCATAAACTATTGAGTGACTGACTGGCTTTGTTTCTTCTTTGGTAATAACATACATAAAATGAGCTGTAAATGAGCATTTGTCTACATCAATAACTCACTTCTTCCAAAATTAAACTGATTGAATCTTTGCGCAGCATAAAACGTATGACCATTCGGTACAATGGTCTGAAAAGCAAGACTATTACTAATTGGCTCTATAGCTCCTAAGTCGATTTAACAACTAATGGTCATTATTTTCCACTTGAAGAAATTTTTAAGCCCCACCTTTTTTAGGGAAGTTCTAAATTAGTATTATCTTTCAAATGCTGTTGGAATTTAACCTTTTCATTTTCTGGGCCTGCATATGGGACCTTTAACATAGGCCTATATAGTCTGCAGATACATAAACCATGAGCTGAACTTGGCGGCTCTCTGGTCTGCCAAACAACCGTCGCTATTATTCGGATGGTGGCGCTCAAGGTCGGCCCTCATACGTAAAATAATCAGAAATGTTTGATACACTTCTATAAAAAAATATTTGAAAAAAAAAGAATTATAAGTGTTTACGGCAAAGAATAAGAATGAACGAGAACGATAGATAAATAGAAAAAATAACAACAAGATGGTTGAGTGATAGAAAGAAAGGGAGAGTCTGTCGATGAAGAGAGAAGGGGATAGAAAGAGGGGGCCGTGTAAACGGTATGAGAAGAGGAAACAGACAGGAATAGATATCCAGCAAGATAGAGAAAGAACAAAAGGCTAAGCACTCCCCATACAAAAGTTAGAAAGAGAAAAAGAGAGGTAGAGAGAGAGAAAAGGGGGAAGAGGTAAAGAAGGAGACTGAGAAAAAAACATGTTTCCTTGATAAGCAAAGAGACATACAATTAACAGGCTTTAACAATAAAAACAATAACAATAGCAAGGAGAAGTTGGAAGATATTTGTTTTTATTAGCCTTTTGGGGGCGTTGCTGTTTGGGGGCGTTGCTTGTTTACACAATAGTTAACAGTAGTTAATCAGTAGCTTAAATAAATTTAGGGACCTTGTTCCAAAGTTCGACTTGATTTATTATGTCTGTGTCATATACGTGTGTGAATAAAGATCAGCACGTGACCACTGGATTAGGCCAAATGTACACCAGACAACAAACATTATCGATAATATTCTATAACAGAAACTTCTAGTTCAATTTTAAATGCGTATTATGTCTGTGTGTGCGCGTGTGAGTGTTGATCATGTAGGGGCGTGTGTGCGTGAGTTTCCAGTAGGCGCAATAACTTCATAATCACAGCGATTTTCGGGGTTTCTGTATTATGCAAAAACAATGATTATCAGTGACCTATTCATTAAAAAAAAAAAAAGTATCTCTTTTAGATTTTTTTCTCAATAAAAGTCACCGATAAAAAGGGCAGTACCTTTATCGTTTAATACACATAACTTGCATATAGTATGCCAGTTATTTAATTTGAATTAAACCCTCTCCTAAATCGATCTATAGGGGAGCATCACCAAAACGAATTTCGCCTTCAATCTATGGTATAGGAGTTAGGCGCTGCTATTCTGTAATCAAAGTATCAGCTTCAAATCTTATCCCTGTTAAGAGGTGTATGAAGTTGACATATAGGTTCTAATCTATCGATAAATGTGATAGCCATTAAAGAGTAGACGGGTCGACGCAACGTACGTCGCATGCGCGTGAACGCATACATACGAGATGTACACAAATGCCTTTAAAGAAGAAAGTGTTACCTTTTATGAAGGTAAACTTAAACTTTAATCTGATGTTCACCATCATAATTACAGGTCATTACTGAACAAAGCAGAGCTGACAAAGTTACAGAAAAAAAAAAAAAAAAAAAAAAAAAACAAAGGGGGGAGGGGGGGGGTTGGTTTTTTTTTACGGGGGTTTATACGCATAAAAATACCAAAGGAGGGGTTTAACCCCCCCCCCCCCAAACACCCCCCCCCCCTTTGTTTGTAATAGAAATAACCACGGAGTTAGGCGCTGCTATTCTGTAATCAAAGTATCAGCTCGGCCCTCATACGTAAAATAATCAGAAATGTTTGATACACTTCTATAAAAAAATATTTGAAAAAAAAAGAATTACAAGTGTTTACGGCAAAGAATAAGAATGAACGAGAACGATAGATAAATAGAAAAAATAACAACAAGATGGTTGAGTGATAGAAAGAAAGGGAGAGTCTGTCGATGAAGAGAGAAGGGGATAGAAAGAGGGGGCCGTGTAAACGGTATGAGAAGAGGAAACAGACAGGAATAGATATCCAGCAAGATAGAGAAAGAACAAAAGGTTAAGCACTCCCCATACAAAAGTTAGAAAGAGAGAAAGAGAGGTAGAGAGAGAGAAAAGGGGGAAGAGGTAAAGAAGGAGACTGAGAAAAAAACATGTTTCCTTGATAAGCAAAGAGACATACAATTAACAGGCTTTAACAATAAAAACAATAACAATAGCAAGGAGAAGTTGGAAGATATTTGTTTTTATTAGCCTTTTGGGGGCGTTGCTGTTTGGGGGCGTTGCTTGTTTACACAATAGTTGACAGTAGTTAATCAGTAGCTTAAATAAATTTAGGGACCTTGTTCCAAAGTTCGACTTGATTTATTATGTCTGTGTCATATACGTGTGTGAATAAAGATCAGCACGTGACCACTGGATTAGGCCAAATGTACACCAGACAACAAACATTATCGATAATATTCTATAACAGAAACTTCTAGTTCAATTTTAAATGCGTATTATGTCTGTGTGTGCGCGTGTGAGTGTTGATCATGTAGGGGCGTGTGTGCGTGAGTTTCCAGTAGGCGCAATAACTTCATAATCACAGCGATTTTCGGGGTTTCTGTATTATGCAAAAACAATGATTATCAGTGACCTATTCATTAAAAAAAAAAAAGTATCTCTTTTAGATTTTTTTTCTCAATAAAAGTCACCGATAAAAAGGGCAGTACCTTTATCGTTTAATACATATAACTTGCATATAGTATGCCAGTTATTTAATTTGAATTAAACCCTCTCCTAAATCGATCTATAGGGGAGCATCACCAAAACGAATTTCGCCTTCAATCTATGGTATAGGAGTTAGGCGCTGCTATTCTGTAATCAAAGTATCAGCTTCAAATCTTATCCCTGTTAAGAGGTGTATGAAGTTGACATATAGGTTCTAATCTATCGATAAATGTGATAGCCATTAAAGAGTAGACGGGTCGACGCAACGTACGTCGCATGCGCGTGAACGCATACATACGAGATGTACACAAATGCCTTTAAAGAAGAAAGTGTTACCTTTTATGAAGGTAAACTTAAACTTTAATCTGATGTTCACCATCATAATTACAGGTCATTACTGAACAAAGCAGAGCTGACAAAGTTACAGAAAAAAAAAAACAACAAACAAACAAACAAAGGGGGGAGGGGGGGGGTTGGGTTTTTTTAGGGGGGTTTATACGCATAAAAATACCAAAGGAGGGGTTTAACCCCCCCCCCCCCCCAAACACCCCCCCCCCTTTGTTTGTAATAGAAATAACCACGGAGTTAGGCGCTGCTATTCTGTAATCAAAGTATCAGCTTCAAATCTTATCCCTGTTAAGAGGTGTATGAAGTTGACATATAGGTTCTAATCTATCGATAAATGTGATAGCCATTAAAGAGTAGACGGGTCGACGCAACGTACGTCGCATGCGCGTGAACGCATACATACGAGATGTACACAAATGCCTTTAAAGAAGAAAGTGTTACCTTTTATGAAGGTAAACTTAAACTTTAATCTGATGTTCACCATCATAATTACAGGTCATTACTGAACAAAGCAGAGCTGACAAAGTTACAGAAAGCACTAGACAATGATGAGGGGATTACGAAACACGCTTACGCCATCAACGACGGTCATGGTCGTAATACCCGAATGGTTCTCTGGAGTCATCCGGGAAACGACATCACAGGCATGATCGCAAGATCACAAAAAGTCGCCGGGGTTTCTGAAAAGGTATTACATTCTATGCAGGCGCGTACGCTGGATTTTTTCAAGGGGATGGAAGGGGGGGGGGGTTAACATTTTTAATGTGGGGGGGGGGGGGGTAAGAGGACACTTTTTTTTTTTTTTTTTTGGTCTCGAAATTTGAAAATTTGACATTTTGCTCCGTTGGGAGGGAGGTAAGGTCACCTTTATTAGGTCAGCCATGGGATTTTGTTTTGTTTTTTTTTGTTTTTTTTGTTGTTATTATTTTTAAAAAAAAAAAAAAAACCAAAGGGGGGAGGGGGGTTTTAGGGGGGTTTATACACATAAAAATACCAAAGGGGGGGGGGGTTTAACCCCCAAACACCCCCCCCCCTTTGTTTGTAATAGAAATAACCACGGACATTCTTTACAACCGCCGAATCGAATAAGTAGTGCAAGCAAAGCAATTCAAATCAAGATTTGCTGGTTGAAGGGGAAAGGTTGCAATTATTTAAAAATCGTCTTTCTGTGTCATTGACACGAAACATTAGTATTTAAAAGCTTTTGAATCGTTGTCAGTAGTAAAACAACAAACAATCACAAGAAAGGTGCTCTCGAGAGGGTAAAAAAGAATATGTCAATGTCAGTAAACATGCTTCCACTCGTGAACTAGCCTCTTGTCGATGCCCTCGCGCTGTTGGAGTCTCTAAATTCTGACGAGCGAAGCGAGTCAGAGAAACCGAGGCGCGAGCGAAGCGAGTCAGAGAAACCGAGGCGCGAGCGAAGCGAGTCAGAGAAACCGAGGCGCGAGGCGCGCGAGCGCCTCGCTTTCTCTGACTCGCTTCGCTCGTCAGAATTTAGAGACTCCAACAGCGCGAGGGCATCGACAAGAGGCTACTCATGAACGAGAATTACTCTCCCTCTTCTGTGACCCATCATCTCTCTATAAACATTTGTCTCTTTCTTTATTCATCATCTCTATTCTCTTCTCACCCCTCTTAATTCCCTTATTCTTCTTCTTTTTTCTCTTTCTCCCGTTCTCACTCTCTCTCTCTTTCTCTCTCTCTCTCTCTTTCTCTTTCTCTCACTCTCACTCTCTCCCTTTCCTCATGTTCAGCTCCTTGGAGGAGAAGCTTACCATTATCACACCAAGATGATCATGAAGGAACCAAGGACAGGTGGAAGTTTCGTCTGGCATCAAGACTACGGGTACTTTTTTTCTTTCAATTTCTTCTTCTTGAGAATTTTCTTTAGTCACTTTTGATGAATCTTGTTTAAGCTGTGAAATAATACTGAGGTGGTAGAAACCTAAATTACATCTTACGATCCCCGCAACCAATGAACAAACAATTTCTATAAATTTCCAGTATAGCTACAAATAACAAGAAATTAAAATGTTGTCATTAAGCCAGTTACGACAGGAAAAGCTTTTGCAATCACAGTGCAATTCTGCGTATTGCTTGTGCCTATTAGCACACACGGCAAGCCTCCGATCGTGCCAATCGGCTCTCGTTGCCAATATAAGGTTAACGATCAACAAAGGGTGATTATTAAAACAAGACTTTGTTATGACTATATTTCTCTGGGCTTCATTTTACATCAAACTATGGGGATTGGGTTGTGATTGAATTTACGTCGAAATTAGAAATTCGTTTTAGTAAGCATGTGTCATGCAATCATTTCTAATAATTCACATATTTTCGTTTCCTGTTTTTTTTTTCTTCGTCCAATTGTAGGTACTGGTACAAGAATGGATGCTTTTTTCCTGACATGATGATTTCTTCATTCATTGCAGTTGATAAATGTGACAGGGAAAATGGATGTCTCCAGGTAAATAAAAACCTCCTAAGTAGCATTTTGAAGGAGTTACTTCCAAAAATTGACATATCAATGTTATAAGAACGATCCCAACGACTGTTGAAAAATCAATCCAATAGTACCACTCTGATATCTGCACGAGTTTTGTCCCCGCGCTGCCACGCAATGCGTCATCTTCGTGAACGAGCGCGAGGAGTGCGTACAGGATGCGGGGGTGCTTGCCATGTCGTAGAGAGAGTATTGAAAATTTCAAAAATTCGGCACCCATTAACTTACGTTCTACCGTGTGAGTCAAAAATAAGTTTACACCTAGAGTAGAAAATTGCTAATATTTTGAAAATCATCTATGAACAGTAAATTATTATACATCTTATGAAAGAGTGTTTCATCCCAAATCATTTGGTTTCATGTTTGTGTGGTATGTGTTCACGTTTGGATGAAAAAATGGTACCAAATGATTTCGGATAAAACACCCTTTCATGAAATATATACATATTTACTGTTCATAGATAATTTTAAAGATAATTAGCAATTTTCTAGGTGTAAACTTTTTTTTTGACTCACACTGGTTGAGCGTGCCACTCGAGTGAACCATGAACACTGCGCACTCGGCGCGCGAACACTGCCGACGGCCCATTTTTGGCCGCGCATTGCGTAGACAGTGCGTAACTTATGCGTGTACAGTGCGCGTACAGGCAGCAAGCACGGCTTCACGCTGCGTAGCACCGAAATGGCACGCCTTGGCACGCATACTTGCGTGGCATTGCGGGGACAACATTCGTGTCACTGTTTTAGGCAACTTCAAGAGCCCTGTCCGTCACCTATTTAAAAGTGTGAACATTACAATGACGTCATACATAATCCAAACGTGATAGTGTACATAACAAGAAAAAGAATAATTTTACTAGAAAAGACATTTCCTGCCGAAAATTTCATTTTTTATTGTTGACGTCGCGAAAATTTAACTTTTTCCCGGGAAAAAGTGGACTATTCGTCCCCCCCCCCCCCCACCCCCCCAAAAAAAAAAAAAAAAAAAACTTGGCAAAATTCAGTGAGCGTACAGGATTTCAAATGCCTCCACACAACGCCGTGAAACCGTCGCGACGGTGTCACGGCGTTCACGCCTTGCAATTTACGCTGTGCGGTAACTGCACTACACTACAGCAGTACTGTTTAGCGCCAACTAAACACATTTATATCCTCCAATGTTTCATTTGAGCTGTGCAGTTTTCTTCTATTCCTTTTTTTAATACGATGTGAATGTGAGTATGGAACATGTTATTACAGAATTGTCCAAGGAATAATACAGGTGAGAGGGATATAAAACAAATATACAATGACTCATTCTCGAAACAAGCTAAAACTATTCGCACTCCGGAACATCAATAGTGGCCCTCAGGAGAATAATACTATTTGATGTTCCTTCCATGCGAATAGATTAAGCTAGATCCTCGAGTGTCATTGTATATTTGTGTAATATGATAAGTTAATTAAATTGCCTTGGAAATGAGTTCTTGAAAGTTTTTGCGAATGTGTGATTATTAAGAAATACAAGAAGAAAGAAATGCATTGTACTACAATAGCAGCCAAAATTGGGAAGGTGCAAAGTCATTATTAACGGCTTTCTTTTCATACAATTCAAGAAAGAGAATACGGAGAAAAATATTAACAATAGCAATAACCTTAGGAGAAAGAATTTAGATGAATGGAAGGGTTATTGAGCCGTATGCATAAAAACGCTATTACCTGTGCTAGCCTTTTGCTTGAATCCGTATGCATTAAAATAAGCAATTGCTTGCAAGCAAAGGGTTTTTCCTAGGAAGCACAAGCAATTGCTTAAACACGTATGCATTAAAATAAGCAATTGCTTGCAAGCAAAGGGTTTTTCCTAGGAAGCACAAGCAATCGCTTAAACACGTATGCATAAAACACATATTATGCTTGTTCCTTTAAGCATTTGCTTACGCTTTCTCCAAGCTCCGTCATATCAACTTGGAATTCAAGAGTGAGGTTCAGCTCGTAAGAGGAAAAACAAATTTGTACTGGATTAGAAGAAGTGGAGAAGAAATTGCTCCCGAGACCTATCGGAAACTATTCCGTTCCGACCAGGAGAACGTTAAGTGGTTATGACACAGATTCATAGCTAAACATGATTTTTTTTTTTAAACAGTGAAGATGCCTGACACTGGTGAAAACTCCCTTTCTCCCCCTACATGCATTATATTTTGAATGCACTATACGAAACCAGCCTTTAATGTTCTTTCATGAATCGTGTTCGCACAGACGAGTCGCGACGTGACGTCACTTTTGTTGAAACCGTGAGCATGTATGCTTTCTGAAAGCAAGCAAAAGGTTTTAGCACAACATAAAGATTAATATGCATAATGATTTAAGCAGTTGTTTTAGCTTGATTTTCTGCTTGACAAACAATTGTTTGTACTTGAAGCAAATGCTTATGTAAGCAATTACTAAGCAGCAGAGGATAAATTTGAATACAATGACATTTTGCAAATGGTTTGCAGACTGTTACTTGATAGTAGTTTGGGACACGTGTGCTACTCTGCTCCATTCTTTAGATGGATGTAGAGGTTAAGCAGAAGCCCAGGAAAGGGAGAACGATCCGGGTATTTTCATGCCTCAACATTACATCAAAGAAAGTGTATCTTTTATTATTATTATTATTATTATTATTAAAGCAGGATATTCCCATCCAGCGCCATGGATCGAGTACTTGTTTTACAAGGACGTTCTGCTGCAGACAATGAAACTTATGAAATAAATGATGAAAGGTTAAAGTGATAAAAACTTGGATAGGAGTCAGGTTATTTTGGCTGTTTTCAAACAAATTTAAAGACAATCTAAAAATCTCGCCTCTCTTCTCATATTTGAAGATAATCCCCGGATCTCAGAAACTTGGTCGCGTCGATCATGTCATGGTCGGAGGCCAGACGGGGGCCGATCTCGAAAGGGTCGAGTTCGCCAAGAAAAAGCTCGGCGTCGCTTTCGTCGAACTCAACGCAGGAGACGCCATTTTCTTCCACTGCAACCTACTGCACTGTAGCAGCGCTAACAACAGCGACAGAAGGAGGTGGTCCTTCATACTGGCCTATAACCGAAAGGACAATAACCCTATGATTCCACATCACCATCCTCAGTACACACCTATGACCATCGTAAGTTAACTGGAATGAAATGAGATGAGACAAGACGAGACGAGACGGGACGGGACGGGACGGGACGGGACGGGACGGGACGAAACGGGACGAAACGGGACGAAACGAAACGAAACGAAATGAAATGAAATGAGATGAGATGAGATGAGATGAGATGAAATGAAACGAAATGAAACGAAAGGAAACGAAATGAAATGGAATGAAATGAAATCAATTTATTGAAATAAAATCCACAGTTTCGGACACTAATCAAAATTAACGAAAGAGATAACGCAAGGTTTAGCCCAAAAAAAAGAAACGCGGAACAGTGCCTAGATTCCCCCCTCCCAAAATCTCCGGTAAAAAGGTACTTTTCGCGCGACAAAGTTCGGCCGAAGAATTGTTTAAAAAAAGGAGATGTATATGACTTTTCACCCGGAGATTTCTTCCGAAAAGGGGATGTATTATTTCGTTCCCTCTCTTTGGGCTCCTGAGAATTTTTTTTAAAGGGGGTTAAAAATATCTTGAATACCATAGATAGGGGGCATTTTAAGCAGTGTTCTGGATTTAGGGAGGTCTTCAAGGCAGGAAAAGCCCGCGAAAGAGGAGTTCAGAAATGTTGGTAGTCCTTAGAAGGGGGTGCTTTCAAAGGGAGGGAACACGCATACACGTACCCTAAATTACACTGACTGGGGGGAGGCTAGATTCTCCTACCTTCTAGAATAGATCATGTATAATTATTGTGCCATCTCATTTGATGTACAGGAAACATATCAGAGAGGTGGAGTACTAACAATGTTGCTGTACTAGAATTGTACATTATTATGCAACCACCTACAATTATTTTTCATTGTGTCGAAAATAGCTTTCTTTTAGTTACCTAATTTTATTTATAGCCTTTTTACAAACGCTGTTATAGCTCACGTGACTTTTCAATGACCACTGCAGACGCTACCGCAGTCCTACGTACGTTAGCAAAATGACGCGTGGTTTTATTTTGAAAAACGGTGTTTTTGTTTCTTTGTTACAACAGGTGCCTAATTCCACCATCTTGGAATGCTCTGATGTACCTGATTTGACCGGGAAAGATTTCCTGGACCCAAATAACGACAAGACGGTTAAAGCGGAGCAGTACCCAGGACCAAAATCCAATTAAAACCAGTTGAAATCTCCAACTGGTTTCAATTGGTTTCAACTGGTTTCAATTGGTTTCAATTGGTTTCAATTGGAATAGAAAATTTCCAGTTGAAACCAATTGCCGAACTGGAAAATATTGTTATGGGTACTCATTTCCAGTTCAAACCAATAAGAAGTGCAACTGGAACCAGTAAGGTAATTTTTCCAGTTACTCAATTGGTTCGTTAGAAGTCATTTCCAGTTACCCAACTGGTTCCAGTTAGAAGTTCAACTGGAAACAGAAAGATGATTTTCCTGTTACTCAATTCAGTGGTTCCAGTTAGAATTCATTTCCAGTTACCCAACTGGTTCCAGTTAGAATTCATTTCCAATTACCCAATTGGTTCCAGTTAGATGTCATTTCCAGTTACCCAACTGGTTCCAGTTAGCATTCATTTCCAGTTAGAAGTCATTTCCAGTTACCCAACTGGTTCCAGTTAAAATTCATTTCCAGTTACCCAACTGGTTCCAGTTAGAATTCATTTCCAGTTACCCAACTGGTTCCAGTTAGCATTCATTTCCAGTTAGAAGTCATTTCCAGTTACCCAACTGGTTTCAGTTAGAATTCATTTCCAGTTACCCTCCAGTTAGCATTCATGTCCAGTTAGAAGTCATTTCCAGTTACCCAACTGGTTCCAGTTAGAATTCATTTCCAGTTACCCAATTGGTTCCAGTTAGCATTCATTTCCAGTTAGAAGTAATTTCCAGTTACCCAACTGGTTCCAGTTAGAATTCATTTCCAGTTACCCAATTGGTTTCAATTGGAAATATTTCCAGTTACCCAACTGGATCCAATTGAAACCAGTTAATTTGCATATTATATGCTTGTGTGCAGATCAATGTTTTATTTTTTTTTTTTATTTATTTATTTAAAATGGTTTATTTCATTCAAAAACATTCGCGGCCCGAGAGCCGAATTGCAGTTTCTTTTACAAAGTATACATCAATGACAGGGTAAAATTACACGTAAAACATTATGCATGGTATAATTATGGTAGTAAAATTGGAATTCTTTTGTACATATGATATATAATTGTAATTGTGCTTTAACGACCTTGGCAAATTGCTTGGTACATGTACAGAAATTCGAATTGTATTACCATATTTGCAATAAAATTATATATTGAAATTATACAATATATGAATAGTAATACATTTTTTATATTTAAAAAAATTAAATGCTTTGGTTTGAAAATGCATAGCCAGATGGGTAAGGTATGGTTATGGTGTTTTCTTCAATAACTGAACAGAGACAACAACAGAAACCAAATCCAGGAATTATAAAATCAAATAGATGCTACAATGATTTAAACAAGTATACATTGTAGTTAAAATGCAGAAAATTTTGTATTTGGGCCAATTTAGTAAAAGGTACATGTAGAATATTGCATAAAAATAAGATAAGTTTCGCATAAAAGACATGGATAAAAGGTTGCCATTGTAATATTCGATATAATGTGCTTCATCTTGGGAATTGTTAAAAAGTCAAACAGAAATTTTGTACAATTAAATCTGATTTAGTTTAAAAAAGTAAAATTCTATAGTAACATTATTCAAAAATGCATTCACATGTCACCCTTTTATTTAGGAAGTTATATCAGAGAAATAGACAGAGAGAGATGGAGAAAGAGAGAAAGAAGGAGAGTGAGAAAAGTAAGAGAGAGGGGGGAGGGTGGGAGAGAGATAGGGAGAGAAAGAGAGATAGAGAGAGAGGAGAGAGAGGGAGAGCGAGAGAGAGAGAGAGAGAGAGAGAGAGAGAGAGAGAGAGAGAGAGAGAGAGAGAGGGGAGACAAAGAGTGAGAGTAACAAGACAGAGAGCTAGAGAACAAGGAAGCCATGAAGAGGGTCTCCTCGCTCCGCAGCACAGCACTGACATAGAGGAGAAAATAGGGGTAATGAGAGAGTGAAAGTAGTAGAGAACAATGAATGTGTTCGTCGAAGGTGAAACTAGTAATTATTCAGTACTATGAGCGTTTAACAATCTGACTAGATATGGCAACGGACTGTTTCTATACCGTGTCGTTTTGCATGGCATTTCAGTGAGCTTGCTTTTATTTCTCAGATTTCGAGAATGGGAGTCCCCACGTGTTTGGGGTAGCCAATGACTAAACTTTGACCCAGGCTCGAGCAGCTTCTTTGCAAATTTGAGGCACAGACATTCTCTGCGGTCACTCAAAGAGGACACTTTACACAGTTGAAGAGCGTTTTGATACGAGACAAAACGTGGCCCTAACATGAGGCGGCACGCTCGCTTTTGAATTCTCTCTATTTGTTCATTTTGTTTGGCAGACAAGCCGGAGTTCCAAACGGGCGCACAATATTCCAACACTGGCCTTATGTATGAACAGTAAATGAGCACTAGATCATCTAAGGGCAATCGAAATTTAGTGAGAACTCTCAGCATATGCAGCCTCATGTTTGCCTTCTTAACAATTTCATTGACATGAGAAGTCCATTTTAGATCTTTTTGGATGAAAACCCCTAGTAATTTGACACAATCTACTCGGCTAATGTCATGTCCATCAATTTGGATGACAGGCGGTGGGGGTGGTTCACGCATGAAAGTTACTGTCATCACAGAACACTTTTTGTGGTTCAGTTTCATGTTGTTGTCTACAGTCCATTCTTGTAGGTTGCTCACGCTTGACTGGATATTCGGTGGCGATGGGGATTTCCTACAATCTAGCATGGTTAGGTCATCCACATATTTCCAGTAAGACGACGGTGACCTCCGGCATGCCTCATTGATGATAGCCAGGAAGATAATAGGACCGAGTCTAGTCCCTTGTGGAGCCCCTGCAGAAACTTCCAGCCAATCAGAGAGCGTCGTTCGATATTTCACGCTCTGTTGTCGTTTGGTGAGAAAGTTCGCTATCCATGCTACAGCACTCGGACGGACGTTCATCTGGAGCAGTTTGAGGACAGCTATATTGTGGTCTATCCTATCGAACGCTTTACTGAAGTCCGTTGTCACCATTGTAGTAATGATTTTGGGCTTGTCAGCGTTGCTGTGAATCATTTGTAGGAGATCAATCAAGTAGTGAGAGGTGGATACAGCCCTCATGTTCCCGAATTTTGCTGGGTCTATGTTGTTCTCCATGTCGCTGAAAGTCCACTTAGCAATGAACTTTTCGGCTATCTTGGCAAAATGATCAGTCAAAGATACTGGTCTGAGGTTATCGATAGATGCTCGAGATGTCTTGGGAATGGGAACAACATGCGCTCTCTTCCAACGCTCTGGTACAATGGACTGACTAAAAGATGCGTTTAGAATATCAGTAAGCGGAGAGCAAAGCTCATAAGAGAATTTCTTGACAAGTCTGGCCGAAATGCCGTCCGGTCCAGGAGCTTTCCGTTGTTTTATGGCTTTCAACTCGCGATAAACTTCCCATGGTTGAACAAGGGGAAGTGGTTGGTCAGCCGGTAGATATGACGGCAAACTAGAAGGGTCCAATCTAGGAATGTCGTTTGCAATGTTCACGAAGAAGTTGTTGATCTTATTCGCCGTTGCATCGAAGTCAGTAGGAGAAGTCCCTTCGATGCGAATAAGTGGAGATCTCGTCTGGCCAGTTGTCATGGTCTTTATATGCTTATACCATGACGCCGGGTTGGCATTTTTCAGTTTTGCCACACGGTTTTTGTTGTAGTCTTGTTTTGCATGTTCGATTTCACGAATAATTCGATTCCTGAGGCGTCGCCACTCGCCCTTCGCTTCCACAGCAAATGCCCTTTGGCGCTGGTAGATTAACGACTTGATGGAAGGGGTCATCCATGGTTTGTCCTTGTCATGTAGTTTGACGGTGCAAGTTGGGAAGTATCTCTCAATCATTGGTGATAATGTAGAGTAAAACGCATCGCACTTATCATTTGCGTTTTCAGCTGAGAGAACGTCAATCCAGTCACAGTTGAGGATCTCCATTCCAAACTCTCTAATGCTACTGTCTTTCATTGGTCTGGTTGTACGTTTGTTGATAACGTTGGGACTCTTTGTGATGTTTCCCAACGGCAACCATAAGACAGTGCAGTGATCGCTTGCACCCAAAGGCGAAGATATGGTAGGCGACTGGTAGTAATCGCTGATATTGGTGATGATTTTGTCTAGCGTCCTTGTGCCTCTCGTAGGTTTATCCACGCATTGAACAAACCTTGGGTCTGAGAGGAGAGATGATATGTCGAGTTCATTCAAATCACCCATGACAATATAACCAACGTCCGAATGTCTTGAAGACATGGTGTCTATCACATGGTGAATATGCTCAATGAGTTTGTCAGCTTTAGCACAATTTGGTGGGTAATACAGAACAGCTACAATAATGAAGGATACGGATCGTGGTAGCTTTGTTGGCTGAATTTGTATCCACATTATTTCCAAGTCATCAGGTATATCAATATGTCCGACTGTTCTAGGAGTGAGGGTTTCTTTGAAATATATAGCCACACCCCCACCCCGTTTGTTCGTTCTAGATCTGAGGAACACCTCATAATTTGGAATCGACACATAATCACACGGCATGTCATCTTTGAACCATGTTTCGGTTACTGCCGCGATGTCAATATCGGATTCAAGGATAAGTTCGTTAAATTCATCAGTCTTGTTGTTCATAGAACGAGTATTTGTTAGCAAGCAAGATGGAAAGTTGTAAGTACTTACGCCTGTTCTTGGTTCGCGATTCGGTTTGATATGAATCAAATTCGATACATTATGTCGACAATCAGGCAATTTAATCTCAGATCGTTGGTCTCTTATCCCAATAATTGTGGTGATGCGTCGTACGATATGAGTTCCAGCACGACGACCGCGTCTTCGCTTTCCTATGCCCAACTCTTTAATTGTGTCCCACGTTTCTCCTGGCAACCGATTGTCCGCTTTGTGACGTAACTGCTTTGAGAACTCGGACGAATACTTCGGTTCACTGGTTCCGACCTCAATGGCGGGAGATTCAAAATCTGCTGACAAAGTCCCCGGAAAACGACGTGTCTGCTGACTGGTGAGCAGGCCGTCTCGTCTGGCCGACTC